AAATTGCAACTTGGCTTCAATTTTGGCTTTTTCCAGTCTATTTCCATAGCTATACAGATATCTAATTTGATCTGGTCATCATGACTTTAATAGCAGGTGACATCACCTGAACCCTCACTCTGTGCTGGGTCCTGTGCCAAGCTTGTTATCTCATAGAATTCTCACAATAGCCTTCTGAGATTGTGTTAGTATTGTCCCCATTGCCCAGATGAGGAAACTGAGATCACTTTCTCAAGGTCACAATCAGGACTGAAGTCCCAGTCTCTCTGACCCCAAGGCCTATGAGTTTAACCACTAAATTACACTGCATCTGTGGGACATGCTGCAAAATATTCACTAAATCTTAAGTACGCAGTCACAGTCATTAGGAACAGTCATTTGTGTCCGTGTATGGATGTTTCTTTGAATCTTCAACATTGAGCATTTGCGTGGGATGAAATGATGAAATGGAACCGCTCCTCCCCACCCCCCCCACTCCCCCAGCCCCGCCTTGCTTTCCTTTCTTCTCTGACCATGGGCAAGAAAGAGTCCGCCAGTATGTGCTGCTGTAACTGGAAGCTCCTTTCTGGTCCTCGCCGTGAGCCCTGGGGGAGATAAGCAGAGTTGGCGTTCCAGGCACTAAGGAGACTTTGCAGGCATGCTTAGACTCCCTCAAGCCAGCGAGCAGCAGGCCTCCTGCACAGTGGGACTTTTCAGCTGCTTGTGTGGGATGCCCCCAGGCTTAAACCAACAGACTTTTCTAAACTCTCCATCCAGGGATTCTGAAAATCTGCAAGGAGGCTGTGCTCTGGCCACAAGAGGGCGCTCCACTCCCGGGCAGGCAGGACGGGAGTTTGGGGGAGGTGGGTAGGAGGAGCTGAAAGATTCCTTTTGGATGCAGCTTTGAACCAAGCGCTCTTAAGCACACTCCTTGGGAAGGGAAGAAATGTTTTCAAGCCCACTGAAAAGTTTCATTTCATTCAACTAGTACCAAGCTAAGGGATGAAGGATCCAACAGGGAAAACCACATGGTTCCTGACCTCAAGGAGCCTACAGTCACGTGTGGAAGGCAAAAAATTAGAAGGGAATGTGATGTGTGCCAGAGTCTTAATCCAGAACAGTCATTTAGTAAGCATTTAATGAGCGCCTACTGTGTGCCAGGCTCTGTGCTGGTTGCCAAGAATAGGAAAATGAACCGTACAGAGTCATTGCCCTCAAAGACCACAGTCTACTTGGAAGACAGCAAATGTGAAAAAATGGGAAACTGTAGCCATCAATCTGTTTGTCTATCTGTCTGTCTATCTATCTATCTATCTATCTATCTATCTATCTATCTATCTAATGATCAGTCAATCAATCGAGAGAGAGAGAACTGCGAAGGAACACCCAGCCAAGTCTAGGAGGGAAGAGGGAGTATTAGGGAAGACTTCCTGGAGGAAGAACACCTGACTCATGCTGAAATGAATTAGGATATCAAGGAAGACTTCCTGGAGGAGAGGACATCAGAGCCAAGTCATAAAAGACAAATAGGGTTTAACCAGGCAAAGCAACGGAGGGTACTCCAGGTGATGGAGAGAGCATATACAAAGAGTGAGAAGGCCCCAGAGCCAGACCCAGGTGTATGTGTGGGTAGATATTGGGGACCATGTTAAGGAAATTGGGTCTTTTCCAGCATGTGATGGGAAAGCAGGTACTAAGAGAGTGAGGTGAGGGAATGATAAGTTACCTGACTCTGTGGGTTGGAGAGGGCATTATACACGTTAATATTTGAACTGGACCATGGAGTATGTGTAGGGGTTCACCAGGTGGAGGAGGGAGAGAAATGGTAGAAACACTCTGTAAGGGGCAGCTTTGCCGTTCCATGGGGGCCACTAAACAGGGACTCTCCAGGGTCCCCGCCCCGTCTCCTTCATCTATTACAGCATTTTTCTCTTTAATTACTCCAGAGCAAAAGGGTTCAGTGCTGGAGACAGGGGGTCAAAGGGAAATATCTGTATGGGGTTTCTGGGTGGTTCCGGTGAAAGGGTTCCAAGAAAAGAGGTGGATGAAGCAAAAGTGAAGATTTGGGGCTCAGTTCTTGGCCACCCCTGTGCCTCTGACCTGAGCATGTCCCAAATCAAACTTCTCAGTATAGCTGGCCTTGGGGTGGGTGATGATGTGGGGTTGGGACTGACACGCAGGGTCTGGTGTGGGTGCAGTTGAGAGATGCACCCTGGTGCCATATACTGCCTGGTTTCAGGGCTGGGACCACTTTCACCGCATCCCTGATCTCTTTACTTTGGAGTCCTCATCGTTGGGGAGAGGATAATAACAGCATCTCCCACCTAGGGTTACTATGGCACTTAAGTGAGGTCATACATGAAAAGCAAAGCACTTGATACAGTCCCTAGGACAGTCGGCACTCAAATCAAAGCAGCAGTAACACTGGCTGTTGTTGCTGTTGTTATTATGATGATGAAACCTCCTGTTTGATCAAGTTGAAAAATTTTAAATGTCCATGTTTTATGCCTATAATTTCAGAGCTGTATTCTCTCCATTTCAGATGAAAGCTTAATCAGCACCTGGCTGGAATCCTTGTTTTTAGTGTCTCCTTTCCATCTCTCTCTCAGTATGAGAGGTCCTGTTGGAAATGGAGTAATTTCACCTCCTAATAATCTGTTGGCAAGGAAGATGCCTTGAAAAAAAGAAACAATTCTAAAAGAATCTTAAATACCCTGCTTTTTTTTTTTATTTCAGCAACAGACTGTGAATAATTGCTAAGCCCCTCACTTTCTTTATCATTTTTAAATTTTATTGTTATCATTATTATTATTTTAGAGACAGGGTCTCACTGTGTCACTCAGGCTAGAGCGCAGTGGTACAATCATAGCTCACTAGAGCCTCAAACTGCTGGCCTCAAGTGATCCTCCCACCTCAGCCTCCTGAGTAGCTGGGACTGCAGGCACATGCCTCCATATCCGGCTAATTTTTAAATTTTTTATAGAGACAGGGTCTTGCTATGTTGCCCAGGCTGGTCTCAAACTCCTGGCCTCAAGTTATTCTCCCACCTTGGCCTCCCAAAGTGCTGGGATTACTGAGATGAGACACTGCACCCAGCCCTCTTTTTTTTTTTTTTTTTAATTTTAGCAATGTATTTTATTTACCCCAACATTTGATGCTTACAAAAGTATTGTTAGATATTGTCCATTATTATTATTATTTTTCATTCTAAGCCTATTTCAGTCAAGCCTTGCCACAAATTCAAGTGCTAACGTGGACGAGTAGCTCTGTTATTGGACAGGGTAGCTCTATACTAAGAAATGGCCAGGATGTGACAGATCCATTCTTGAGGGCATAGTTATTCTCAGCCTTCGGTATACATTGCACTTATTTTTGATAGTATCAGATTGTGTCATAAGCTTAACTCTGATGGATACTAGCATTCATAACACATTTCTATTAATTGCTTAAATATCACGCCATTACCTGTTTCAGTGAGTTACCTATGCATTCCCTTTATGATTCTGTGTAAGGGAGAGCCCCTGGCTTTATAGCACAATTGTTGCCATGAATGCACCATGTTGTAGGCAGAAGGCAGATGCTCACTCACTGGTGGGGTGAGACCAATGCCCATGTGTAGGATTGAGATCAGACATCACCTCTCTCTCTTCTCTTGAATGAATCTGTAACTGGCCATGGATCAAAGGCTGTGAGCTGAGGGGTCCCTGGAAGAGCTCCTCTTTACCTTCCTTCCTTTTACCATTTAGAGATCATTCAACAAATATTTAAGTTCCTTCTCTATGTGACTCGCTTTGCTGGGCACAGAGTGTACAAAGAATACCGTTCAATCTCTTGGGTCTTGAAGAGTCCCCAAGAGAAGAACCACACTTTCCAGAAGCTTCTGCTTGGTTTTAGCTGCAGATTCTTTCTTCTGAAGGAACTATCAGACAGATCTCCATAATATAATAATAATAATTCACGTTTCTACTTTGTATTGAGTCACTTATGGGCATTTTTAAATTCACTCCACAATTCTCCAAAGGAGGACTCTTTTGTAGGCAAGAGAACTGAGGCTTGAGAAGTTTAATGGACTCACCCAGGGTTGGTGAGACTAGTTATTTGAATCTGGGGAGTGTGACCCCAGAATAGTGTAATTCCTACAAGCTGCACCTGCTCTCCTCCAGCAATGCTGCTATGGTGGGCACAGCGATGAAGGGTGGGGGCACCCAGGGTCCCTCGTCTATATCACTCTTCTGATCTCTGGCAGCTGCCTGTGAGGCACCCCATCAGATCCAGCCTATGATCTGGGGGAGCACCCTCCCTCCTGAACTCCTAAGGTGGGCACCGTCTGAGACTCCTGGCAGGCACTGGACCAAGAGCCAGACAGAGCCGTGGGTGGGCTGAGAAGAAGGAGCCCAGCACTAGAAGTTCTGAGCAAGAGGAAGCATTTCCAGAAGAGGCACTGGGATCCTACCGAAGGCTTAGTCTACTTAGATCTCTTGAAAGTCGTCAGGCTTAACATCTACAGAAATGCACTGATCATTGTTCCCTGGAGGAAGGGCAGTGGATTTGGGGATGAAGCATGTAGATGGTGAATGCCACCTTGACACAGATCTGGACTCACTTGAGGACAGCCTGGGATTTGCTCTTTTTGTCAAATGGCCAAAGGGCAGCTTGGCCACAGGTTGGGGGCTTGGAGCTCTGGGGACTCAAGATGTTTAGGCAAAAGTTGTGGGATTGGAGTTGGAAGCTGAACTTGACCCTGGCTCTCTGGAGCTTCTCTAGGGAGCTGGGCGAAAAGGAATGGCTGAAGTGTTTGCTTGTGCTCCATGGCAGAATGAGCTTCTCAGAGGGACCTAGGGGTGAGAGGGCAAACCCTTGTTGCCCAGCCTTGTGTCTCTACCTAAAAGCCTGTGGCTCTTCTAATTTCTCCCTGTAGGTTTTTGGATCCCTCATGGGAAACACAAGTCTGGGCCTCCCTGCTGTAACTTTGCGCACCTATGGATATATTTCCTTTTCCTCTTTTTCTGTCTCCCTTTCAGAGCCAAGAAGAAGAGCAAACCCTTGAACCTCAAGATCCACAGCAGCGTAGGCAGCTGCGAGAACATCCCCTCTCAGCAGCGCTCCCCGCTGCTGTCCGAGCGCTCCCTCCGCTCCTTCTTTGTGGGACACGCACCTTTCCTGCCTTCCACCCCTCCTGTGCACACCGAGGCCAACTTCTCTGCAAGTAAGTCCCCCGCCGGGCTGCACTGGGGACGCCGGCCGCGCCACCTCCTTCTCCCCGGCACCTGCTGTCCTCTGCACCAGGTGCAAACTCTCTTTTCTTTATCTCGAGGGCTTGTAAAATGCTCACTGATAGAGCTTCACCCATGCTCTGCCCATGGCTCCCCCGCCCCCAACATCTGCCTGTGCCACTCACATCCATTTGGATGGTTTTGGAGGGGGGCATCATTGATGCTGGGGAGGTTGACTGGGTGTTGTCATTGGTCCCTGGTTCCCGTTCTTTCCCCTGCAGGTGTGAAGGAAAGATAGAGGAAAGCAAGCAGGCATTCAGGGAAGCACCCGCCCTCTCTCTCCCTCCTCCCCGATGTCTCTCAGCTGCCTGATTACAGGACTTTTCTTGGCCGCTGTGGCTAAGGCATCTATGATTCAGTTTTGTATTTTTTTCCCCACTCAGGTCAACATATATAACCTTTCCATCTCAAAGATGTATTTGGGTTCAAATGGGGTTGAGCATGGCCTGGGGTGGTTTACTCTCTGCTCTTATGAATTTCTGCTGGAGACAGGGTGGTTATTACTTGGAGCAGAAATGGAACTTTTTGGTGATGGAGGGCTGAGGTTTCAGAAGGTGTTTAATCTTCTCCACCCAGAGGCCCGATTTGCCGAACAGGCACAGACATGGTCAGAGGGGCCACCCCCCTGAATAAAGCCCAGCCAGTCCTCCAGCCAAGACAACAACTTTTATTGATTGATTGCTCAAGAAAAGGAAGGGCTCTGAGAATGTAGAAGACATAACCCTTGCCCCTTAATTCAGCCACAGGCTGTGCACGTTGTGTTGCTGCTCTGAGAAATGATGAGACGTGTTCACTGAGCACTGATACATGCTAATCACTCACAGGCAGGGCCCCATTTAGTTCTTGCAACAATCCCTCGTGCAGATGGATTATTCCCATTGTACAGAAGGGGAAACTGAGGCCCAGGGACGTCAAAGAACTTGCTCAAAGTCACACAGGTGTTGAGTATTTGAGCTGGGATTTGAATTCGGTTATTTCTAACACATCACGCATCATTTGATAACCATGACGGCTCAAATAGCCAGCAGAATGCCTTTCTCTAAATGTGGGATTTTCTTCATTACTTTCATGTAAGGGTTCCTACATGTTGAGAATTTGACAAGATCTATTAATTCTTGCCTGGAAAAAAAGGCACATGTAATATCCAACATCCAGCTAGATGGTTAGGCTCGGGCCTGGGTGGTGAGCTTGGTTATAGCCCACGGGTGTATATGGCGCATCCATGGTAGGAATCAGCTGAGGGTGTAGACTGATAAACCATGTGGACATCATATAGGGGTCAATCCAGAGACTGCCTTGTCTCAGTGCCCAGGTTAGGCAGGCTCTAAATCGAGCAAGCTAAAATGGCACCCATGACTCACAGGTCCACACCAGAAAGCCAATTTATTAATTTGTCCAGAGAAATCACTGCCAGAGAGAGCACCCTTCATGAGGGTGGGCCTGCGTGGTAGTCAAAGAGAGTGGCTGCATGAGCGTGGATGAAGAAAAGCATGATAGTGACATGTCCAGTGTGTAGCAACAGCCAGGTGAGGCAGATGTCACAACCAGGAACAGATGCCTGGGTTTGAACCCCAGTTATTCTACTTTTAAGCAATTGTGCGTGACCTCCAGTGAATTCAAAGCCTCTGAACCTGTTTCCTCATCTGTAAAATGGGGACACTAAGAGGTTCACCTTGTAGATAGTTGTGAGGATTAGATGAGCTCATGCATGCCAAGCCTTCTGCACAGTTCCTGGCACACAGTAGGTCCATAATAAATGGTGGCTTTTATGATGATGTTTTATTCTTGAAGCACTTACAGCCTGTGGTCTGATGGTTAATTTGGGGCTTCTGTGGCTAAATGCCTTGCAGTTTACTCCCCCTCCCCACTTACCCATGGCCCTAAGGGTGCTTGGCATTTGCCTTGGCATGACTCTGGGTGGCTGCCTCTAGCAGCCATCTGTCCTTGGTCATCGCCATCCTATGAGTAAATGTCAGCAGGGCCCCCTCCAGGGGTTTGACCACTGCTCTGCATTTTAGTTTTGGCCAGAGTAAAAACATCTCCCTCCTGCTTTGAAAAAACAAAAACAAACAAACATAACCCCCCAAAAAACCCCCATGGATTTGAACATTTGAGCCCCCGTCCCTACCAAAGAGTTTTTGAGGATTCATTGTGGCTTCTAACTTTTTGTTCCTGCCCTGGTCTCCACCTAAGAGGAAAAGCTTTTCTGCTTGCCTGTGGACAGAAGCAAAGTCCTTAATTAAAAGGCAGCTCCCAGCAGTATGAGGCACCAGGAGCACAACTGCCTCTTGGACAGTCTTGGTTCTTGTGTGCAAAGAAGTTGCTCTCTGATCTCCCAGAAAGAAGAAAGATAGCATTTGAGTCTCAGTGGAAAAATGAGTGTGTAACCCAACTATTAGCTGAAACCCCAGGGACCAGTTCCCTATCTGTTGATTCTAACAAGTAACAGGAACAGAGGCAGCCTGGTGTGGTGCGGCAGGTTCCACTCTGGGAAATGAGATGCTCTCTGTTGGAATTTCAGTGTTGCTGCCTGTTGCCTGTGTGGCCTCTGTCTCTGCCTGGTGTGTCAGCTGCACTATTTCAGTTAAGACTCGCCCCAGTCTGTGAGGCAGGTAGTAGAATTCCCATGTTACAGATCAAGAAACTGAGGCTCAGAATGGTGCATGAACTTGTCCGTGGGGTCCCTTCTGAATCCACATGCAATCTAGCCTGCATTGTATCACTTCAATGCAGCAAGTTCCTTTCTCTATCTGGGTCTCAGTTTCCCCAGGGGTAGGCACTCCCTGAGGGTCCATTTCAGTGACTCTGAGGTCTACCCACTGAGATTTCCTAGGCAAATCTTTTGACGCACTTAGAATGCTGGTTCTGGGGACTCTGGGTGGGGCTTGGGGTTGGGAGAACACAGCTACCGGGTGCTGGCTCCTCCTTGTTTGTAATCGTTCCCATTCCCCCGCCACTGTGAATTTCAGAAGAGAACTCCCTGCTTTTGGACCCTGGTGGCAGCCTTCCTCCTGCTGACCCAGCCAAGGGGGCCTCTGGGGCTGCATCCATGCCCGGCTCAGTCTGTCTGCCTGTTTGTCACTGTCGGCTCTGGCTCTGGTCTGCACTGTGAAGGGCGGTGACACGCCATCTTGTTCCCCCATGATGGTAATGCCTGGGGACAGCGTTAGGCAGATCTGGCTGTAGTGTGGCCGAGCCTCACAACCTCAGGGTGCCCAGCCACCTCGAGTGGGGCATGAGAAGGACATCACCTTCTTGGGGCTTACCCTAGTCCCCTGGCCTGGGAGTGGCAAGTGAGGAAAGGGAGGGAGGGGAATGGCAGGAGCCTTCACTGATGGAGGAATCTGTCTCCAAGGTTCACCAGCCCTTGGGGTTCACAGCCTCACTCAGGTAGGGCTAGTATGAAAGACATCAGATGCTTCTGTTCACCATGGGAGATGTTGACTCAAATGAACCTGCTTCCCAGAGAAATAGAGATCAGTGGACTTATCTCTCCACCCTTGCTGTATTTACTCTGTGTTGCGTTTGGGTGGGCCACCATGCTCTGGTGGTTTGGTTAGGTGCTCTTCACCAGTGGATCATCTTTACTCCACCAGTCTGCAAGCTTGTGAGCTCCTTATTTTCTATCTCTGATCCCAGCTGGTGAAGGTCAGGCTGTCTTAAATCCCCTAAAGAAAGCCGACTTCAGAATGAAAGAGTGCCACCTAGATGGAAGAAATAATTGTCATCATTCATTACTGGCTGGTAGAAGTGACTTCGGGTTTAAAGCAATTAACTGGATGCTGTTAAGTCACTGGACAAATCAACCTCTTGAGTCTATTTTCTACCCAGCAACGATGCAGTGAGGATACACTGAGAAATGCATGTAAATTCCCTAGCATGGAGATTGGTACTTACAGCACTGAGTCTCAATAAAGGGTGGCTTTGGGAGCTATTGCCATATGTTACATGATGAAGTGGCTTGCAACAATGATGAAAACCATGGTCACAATAGCAATCGGCATGTATTGTGTTGACAATGTTCCAGGCATTGCACAAAGCAGTTTACTTTTATTATTTCATTTAAGCTCCACTATCCTCTATAATAATATACTATTATCCCCATTTTACAGATGAAGAAACTGGGGCTGAGAGAGTTTAAGCACTTGGCCCAAGGTCACAAGGTCAGGAAAGAGGTGAAGTTTGCCATCCTTTTGAATCTTCCACTCTGCAATGCTAGGTTGTGAAACTGCAATGTCATCTTCATTAAAACTTGCTTGCTCATCAGGTAGGGAACTGAGCATGCTCAAGTTTTCTCTCCGATGCCCTTGCATCACTGGGGGAGCGTGTTGTGGGTGACAGCCTTGCTCAAAGGATGCCTCTTTGTCAGTGTGCTGTGCTCACTTAGGAAGCAGCACCTGCATTGACTGGCCTTTTGCTGCTCCACCCGACTCTGTTGTGATTATTCTAGGGATCTGTTGTCCCAGGTTGTAGCCATCCCCATAGGGGCCAGGCAGTTGCAGAGCCAAAATTACAAGCTGCAGGAAGCTCCTGCGACTCATCCATCCTGGACATCTCTGGTAGAAGATGAAGAATGACATAGTAATTTTGCCACCTGCAGTTTTCTGGGTGTTTCTTTATTAGCTGCCCATGACTCACTTAGAATGCTGGTTTTGGAAACTCTGGGTGGGGCTTGGGGTTGGGAGAACACAGCTACCAGGTGCAGCAGCTTCAGGGCAGCAGCTACCAAGGGGAACAAGTGACTGATGGGTTCCAGAACTTCCCTATCTGGGTCTTAATGACACCAGCTGGAGTACCCACTAGCCCTGGGTCTTATGAAATATTGTCCTTCATGAGGTGTCTTGAAAGACGGCGGCCCCTCAGCTCTAAGCAACTCCTGCTCTTTGTCCTGGGGACAAGCTAAGAGAGAGTGACCCTCATTTGATAGCCTGGC